GGAATAAATACACTAAGGCTGTTTGAAGAAGCCATAGGGAATTATACTACTCTATGTCTACTTAAAATTACACATAATATAAGTGTACAAGTTTACAATATGTTTATGCATAAACATATATACACATATATATGTATGTCAATATAATATAATATAATATATATGTACATGAATTATACCATGTGGAGAGGCAATGCTGCTTCCCCAAACCATAGACTATGTAGCAAAACTCTACTGCCAGACAGGAGAAACTTCCTTTGTAGTAGTTGGTCAGGTGAGTTCAAGAGATAACAAAATAATATAGACTATTGCCATTGCCTTTGTGTGTTCTAGAAAAAGAAGGTATGACCCTAATACTGAAGATACCACATACTTCAGACACAAGACTTGGAAAACTATATCTGGACCTAACCTGGAATACTCAGTAGTCATGCAAGCTGATGAGGGAGAAAGGTAATCAATCATGCTATCCATCTGCAATGCTTTCAAACCACAACAATGATCCACAGAAGATATTCTGAAAGATGCAATAGTGGCACATATATCCTCGGGGTAACCAGAAGACACCTAATGGGGCTTAAGTTTTACTCACTAGAAGGGAAGTCATACCTGGTTATGCAAAATTAGCCAATGCCCAGGGCTGAAGAGGCCATGGGATCTAAAGGACAACCTGATATTGTCACTTTCCTGAACCAATATATCTCTGGCTAAATTCTAAATACTTATCCTTGTCTCTCCTGATAAGTACAGGGCTCACCCTCATCTAGAAGCTTCTGTCTTCAGTAGATGGAAATTATCACAGAAAGCCACAACTGGACAAATGGAAAAAAAAAACTTAACCATGGGATGCCAAACCCCAATTATTACACATACAACAGAACCCCAACTCCTAAGGCTCAGGGCACATTGCACAAAAGGGGCAGGAAATGATTCTTGGTAGCAAACTATCGCATCCAGAAATTTTATGATAGATAAAGGAAGGCAGCTTAATATCACAGGTTATTGTTCTTTTACTAACCAACATCAAGCAGAATTGGAGCACTGTGTGATAAAGGGTGAGGTCGAATCTGATTTAAGGAGAATCATATTATTCCCTCAAACAATTCAGTACAGTTATTTATTTACTTAATATCATTAGAACAGACTGGAAGCTGTCATAGCAGATGGTGAACCGAGTGCTGAAACCCAGTTTGCTAGCATGCAAATAAGACATATTCTCTTTCATGACTTTATGGCATTTTGCCTTGTTTCATATCTAGGGGATTTGAATTCACCAAGCTTAGATACTACTTAGTGAAATTTATGAAGCATTTCAGGAACTAGCTAACATGATTGATGGATGTTGGTTATCTGTAGACGACTTGAGGGCTTCATTAGTTCTAAGGCTTATTTCAGAGGTAATTTTAGACCCATGTAGAAAGATTGAGAAAATCTCCTCTGTAAATTTTCTACAGTTTTATCACTGAAAGTTTTTTGATTTTCATTTAGGAAGAAGAGCATTTCTTAATATCATATGTGGGTAGCTAGTCCTTATGCTTGGTTACCTAAAGTCATACATACATACATACATACATACATACACACACACACACAGAGAGAGAGAGAGAGAGAGAGAGAGAGAGAGAGAGAGAGAGAATGCATAGCATTCCATGCATTTCATTTGGGATGTGAAAATCTTCTAAATAAGCCATCAATTCTGATTTTTTAATTTCCAAAGTGAAAATGAGTTTTGGAGTGCTTATTTTTTACATTCATTTCTTCCAGAACTTGTTTGTTATACAGGGACAAAAAATAGATATATATTTGTAGGATTTAAGGTGAGGTGAGAGTTTGATTGGGCAGAGAAAGCACTTGAAATTTGATTATGGGTTAGCTCTCAAAACCCATAGATGTCCACAATGCATGGTTAAAGAACCATATACAATATGTGTAGAAAAAAGATATCAAGAAAATGATGGTAAGGAGGTGGGAGAGGGAATGGGGGAGAGCTTGAAGGGGAAACTACCACAATAATAAATTTATAATAAACAAGGACTTATCTCAAAGCTAACGTCAGTCTTGACCTCATTGTTGAAATACAAGAATACTACACATTTGCAAGTTGCAAATTATCATCACAATTACTTAGTATTTTAATATTTAGATTATTTCATTATGAAGCCAAAAGTAAAACAAGTACATACTTAAACACAGAAGCTATTTTGTTTCTATCTGCACAAAAAACATGAGCAGGAGCTAGAAATACAAAGCTTCTTTGATCTGTCAGTAATGCTGCTGGCTTTTTGGGTCAGAAATCAAAAAAACAATCGTAATCCACTTATCTTTGGTGTACCTATAAATCAATTTCAAATGTAACAGAAATGACAACTTTTAATGTAAAAAATCAAATTATCTTTTTTCACATTTTGATTTTGTCCCTGGATTCAGGATGCTGCTGCTTTGCACAGCCCTTTACTATTGATGTTCCAGCTAAATGCAGGACAGTGTCTCCCTATTCTGAAGGTAAGTCCTTTAGCTTTGCTGACATCTGCACACATTATTCAATAAAATTCTTAAAAACTCAGAACCTGATTGCTTTACAGGGTAATAATTGCTGTATGTATGTGTATATGGTAAGGGTTTGCTAAACATAGAGATATCTGCCATATACAAGGACCTTTTTATGACCCTATGACATGGTTCAAACTTCTTGTGCATGTTATAGGAATATTCTACCACTGAATTGCATGTCCAGTATACAATATTCTTTGTAAAGTGGTTATTATAAATTTCCATTTTTTAAGATTAGTCTTTTATTAAAATATCACCAAACAAAAGTAGATAAAATGTGGAACACATATTTTCCTACAAATATATTGATGAATTCAAAACAGCAAGAACAAGAATCTATTCCAAGTCAAGTTAGGAAGTTTTTTGGATGTTTTAAAAAGAATCTATAAAAAATGAAATTTTCATTTCCAAAAAACAAGCAAAATTCTAACATTGAAAATTTACTGACAATAAATATGTTATGTGTTTCCCTCTCTATTTTACTTTTTGAACCTAATGTGTTAGAAAATTTTCACATTTTATTAACATTTATTCTGCTATTCAAATGATATTAGTATCAAATACACATAAGCCAACACCCATGTATTGAGTGCCTATTTCTCAAAGTTATAATAATTATCAGTTCATATCATAATCTGCTTTTGTTCCACACTTGTAAGATACTGGCATATGGTAAAATAAAATATAAAAAACATGCCACTTACCTAGATATATTCAATTAAAAGATTATCATTAAGCAAAGTTTATATTCTTCTACAAATATAATATATTTGGGTATGTATTTGATAATCACCAATTAATATGTATATGCATTCCTGCCATAATCATTTATTCCTATTAATTATAAATATGCATTAAGAACTCACAAATCTGAACCCGTTAACCTAGATGGGATCATTGGACACAGTGTATTCCTGATTCTGAGGAATTAAGAAACATGTAGGCTGTCTTCAATATGAAATAGTGGGTTAGGTGTATCTAATGTAAAATAGCCTTTATTTCATGTTTTATTTATTATCAGAAATTTTAGAGAAATATTCTAGATTAGGGCATGTATAAATGAGTAATGTTTCTCATTATGAAACTCTAAGACATATTCCTTATAGATTCATTAATCCAGACACCAATGTACAGGCTTATTAGCCCAATTATAGCAAGAGTGCAGAGTATAACAACAATGCCACTGAAGACAAGAGGCCAGAAGAGAGCGTCAGATACAATGAAGCTGGAGTCACAGGTGGTTTCGAGCCAGGCTGGTGTGGGTACTACTAGCAGCTGACTTATATTCCATGAGCCATTTTTCCAGCAACTACCCTCAGTTTCTTATGAGATCAGATCTGAATATGTAAGTCTTCTCTCACACTCACACTGCCCTCCCTTCCACCTCCCCAGTGCTGGGATCACAGTGGGAATCATGTTCAAGTTGGTCTCTGCTTTTTAAATTACAGACATTTTGACTAGAATGAAACAGAATCTCAGTGTAGTTTTTTTTTCATTACTTAGATTACTAAAGACGGAAACATGTTCGTTAATTGTCTAACAAGTATTACAAACTTTCAAGTAATTTTATTCAAATAATTAATACTTGAAAATTGGGTGAACTCAAGAGTAACATCATGAAGCTCTACAAGAGTTTTAAATCATTAAGAATGGCTAAAAATTGAAGTGGAGAAAGAGATTTATAGTCTTAGATGCCATACCTGAGATACGCTTTCCATTTTGAAGGTCACAGGGCAATAGTACTTCCATCTATGAAGTGTCCATGTATGTGTGTACATGTATATACATGTTTGTGTATGTAAATGTGCATTATTATGAGCTGATAAAGAATCAAGTTACACAGAGATATTAGTTATCAGAGAGCAGGTTTCAAGGAATATTGGCCTCTTTGATGCTCCCCAGGAAACCTTGGATCTTATGAGATGGAAATTTGGACTCTTTGTACATGAATCTTGTATTAAAATAAATGAGTCTATAGAGAGTAATTATTCTAGATGAAACAAGTTTCATATAATGACTGACATCCCCTACATTTTTTCCATACTGAGTTCTAAAATTTTACTAACAAACAAAGCTGACTATCACAGTTGATAGATGATTAAAGAAGGAAAAAAAATTTAAACAATGGAACAGAATTTGTATTTATTTGCCTGCTAGCAAATGGGAATGTGGTGTCCTTCCAATAGCAGCTCAGAAATAAACTAGTGTGTGGCAGAGACACAAAAGTATGCAATTGGAGACATTAGGGTAATAAAAATTTCAATAAACATGAGAATAAGTTCGTCCATGACCACACCACACTAGGGTTCTGCTTGACACAGATACTAAAAGCAAGAATTCTAGTATACATTCAGTCAAGGACAAATAAAATTACATCAGTGCATATAAAAATCATAATTAGTGAAGTTAGTGCTACCTATTTTTCTTTCTTTTCTGTGTGATCAGATGCAATGAATTTACTAGAATGGATTGTCACCATCATAATAATGACAGAATTTCTATTAGGAAACTGTGCCAATATCTTCATAATTATAGTGAACGCCATTGACTACGTCAAGAGAAGAAAGATCTCCTCTGCTGATAGAATTATAACTGCTCTTGTCATCTCCAGAATTGGTTTGCTCTGGGCAATGTCAATGAATTGGCATTCAACTGTGTTTACTGCAAATACATACCATGTACAAATAAGAGCATTGGGTCGCATTACCTGGGCAGTAAGCAACCATTTTAGCAATTGGCTTGGGACCAGTCTCAGCATGTTTTATTTGTTGAAGATAGCCAACTTTTACAACCCTCTATTTCTTCACCTAAAAAGAAAAATTGAAAATGTTCTTCTCGTGATATTTTTGGGGAATTTCCTTCTTTTTGTTTTGTATCTTGGAGTGGTGAACATCAACAAGATTGCATGGGTAAATGGTTATGAAGGAAATGTGACTTTGAAGAACATACTGAAGGACATCACAAGCCTTTCAAATATGCATCTCTTCAGCCTGATAAATGTCATACCATTTTGTATATCACTGACATGTGTTCTGCTCTTAGTCTACTCCCTAGGGAAACATCTCAGAAATATGAAATTCCACGGCAAAGGATGTCAAGATCCCAGCACCACGGTCCACATAAAGGCCTTGCAAACCTTGGTCTCCTTTCTTTTGTTGTATGCTACATACTCTTTGTGTGTAATTATATCAGGTTGGAGTTTACTTAATGCACCCATCTTCTTACTTTGCATGGCAATTAGTGCTGTCTACCCAACAGGTCATTCCATTATTTTGATCTGGGGAAACCAGAAGCTGAAACAGGCCCTTCTGTTGTGTCTGAAGCAGGTGAGATGCTGACTGAAAAAATGGAAGCCTTCACATCTATAGATTAATAACAGAGATATCGTATCTTCTATCTAAATAGAACTGACAGAAAGAGTAATTTTTTTCTCTCCACTACTATTTTCAGAGTACATTTTATTAAAGAATTTCTATAGCCATCCTTAGGAAAGTCTCTTCCTCAAACTTGCTAAATAAAAGGATACATAGATGCATTTTGGTGAGACTATAATGCCAAAAAAGATTGAAACAAGCATTCTCTTAATCACTGCTCTCTCAAAAACAACATAGTTATAAATAATATAGAAGAAAATTTTCATGACCATGAAGCCATGTATATTATCCTCTGTTATTCTCCACTTGAACTGCTTATTATCGGTAATAAGAGAATATGTGTTTCCACTACACTGGTCATCACTATAGGTGTAAAGTGAGTTCAGATTTTGATGTTTCAGCCATTTGTAGATGGCAGGAACATTGGATTCTAAATCATATAGCAAAAGTGCACATTTAAAACAGGCATTATGTGGCAAATAAAATCAATTGAATAGTAAATAACAAAATATCACCAAAGAAGATTAAACTGTACTGGCAGCAACATTTATTTGACCCAACATTGTTGTGAATTACACATTTGTATCAGAGTCATACAATGTGATTCCAGAAAGACATTTTGGTACAGTATTCTAAGGTTTTCTTAGCTAGGAGGAGATATCTTTTTAAACTGAATTTTTTTAACCTGAAAAAATGATGAACTTTATGAAAGTATACATTTATTTATTTTACTCTTTTAAAAAACTCTCATATAAAATTGTGATGCTGCATAGGAGTCTGATATATTCCAGATACAATTAAAATATGTTTCACCATTTCCTGCTTGTGACTTCATTTACTCTTGTGTGGAAGTTTACAGCAGCTATCAACATCTCTGTTTCATTGGTGAGTGTATTTAGTGCCTTATCCAACATTGATAGCTTAAGATGAGAAGTTCATGCTCAGCACATAGTGTAAATTTTTTATGGATATAAGAATGTAATCTTCGGGATGTACTGCATGAGAGAAGAATATACTTTCAATAAAAATAAAAAAGAAAAGGAAAAACAGGCATTAGCTCTTCAAATCTCTTTATTTCATTTTTACTGCAGAGTAAACAGAATTCTCATTTTTACTAGAGAGTAAGCAAAAATTTTTATTATAAAATACAAAACAAGTAGAATTTAGTGATTATAAAATAGAATAAATTTAGTGAATGTATACAGTGAGTAGTATAGTTAAATGTCAGATTAATATGAATAGGCATGAAGCTTCAAAAGTGATAATTTATATAAGAGTAATGAAAGTTATTTCCTAAAAATCTTTAATTAAAAAATGTGTGCTGAATTTAAAAAAAAGAAAAATCTTACTCATTTCAGATTATTGCTTTTGTATTCATTTTTAAACCCATAAGGGTAAATGAATTGTCTATCATTCCTTCATTTTACATTCTTAAAATTTATTAAGCTTAATACAAGAAGAATCTTACTTTTTATTTTCTAAATATCATCACTGTTAAACAATACAGAAATTGCACATGATCTTTTCTTCATCTACTAAAACCATATCTATGAACTATGTAATGCAAGTATAAGAAATTCCTTGAGGATCTGATTTTTTAGAATCTTGTATAAATTGTGGAAATGGTACAAATGTGTTGGTATAATCATTGATGGAAAGTTCTAATGTAGACAGTAAAATAGTCCATCATTGAGTTCTATGCAATTATCAATTTGAGATGCTATGCTTAAGCCATTCTTCCATTTTTATTCTTTTTTAGAATTCTTAAGCAAAATGATATGAGTCAATGTGTTTTGTCAATATATGTCATTAAGTTTGTTCTTATTTATCCCCTATACTCATTACTCATATTCTCTTTGTCTCTGGTTCTCTTCCCACCCCCACAAAGTCTCCTTTTCCATCTTCATGTTACAAGTACCACAAACTAGCCGGGCAGTGGTGGTGCACGCCTTTAATCCCAGTACTCAGGAGGCAGAGGCAGGCAGATCTCTGTGAGTTCAAGGCCAGCCTGGGCTACCAAGTGAGTTCCAGGAAAGGCGCAAAGCTACACAGAGAAGCTCTGTCTCAAAAAAACAAACAAAAAAGTACCACAAACTGAATTATCTTCCATCTCCTTCCCTTGCAATCTTCCCTCCCATTTCATGGGCTCCTTTCTACTTTTAAGATATACACACATACACACACACACACACACACACACACACACACACA